AGCAAAAGCCAGAGTTTCGTTGCAGGTTGAAATTTTTTGCATGTGTCTTAGAAGAAATTAGCTTGGTTTCACTTACTAGTTTGTGCTTTCCCTGGCAAGAGGAGACAAGGTGCTGGGGCAGCAGCAGCGGTCAGAGAATGTAGTTTAAAGGCAGTTGTCCAGTTGTGGGTTATATTTTCTGTAGCACGAAGGTGAATTGAGTCATCTCTCAAGTTATTGTTGTGTGCTTTAAGGCCCCGTGACTCTGGGATTTGCCCTGTTACTGTTCTCAGAACATGAAGAACCTTCTATGTGGAAGCCTAAGAAATGTTTGTAGGGAAAAAAAAGAGTAGCCTACAGTCCCAAATAGGATTCGTTGCCACTTTTCTCCAATAAAGGACCAGAGCCTACTGGAAAGGTGTGGCCTGCTGCCCTCCTGTCCCGGCCCCCGCCCCAGGAGCTGGGACGCACGCCTTTTCATTATTAGAAAGTCATGGCCTGGCAAGCCGGGCTCCAAGGGGGCCCCCTCAAACATCTCAGGGCCATGGGGCTTGGGGGTGTTCCTGAGGACGGACCCCACCTTCTGGGCCGTGGGGGGTGTGAAGTGTGCATGGCCTCCCTGTGACACCTGCGTGGCCGACCTTGGGGGCGCGCGCGGGGCGGCGCCGTGCTCCGGCCGGAGTCTCTCTCCGGCCTTTACAAGGGAGGCTTTGATTCTATTTTTTGCTGAACTAGCTCCGCCACTTCCTGTGTTGGGCCTCGCCGGAGCGCCCGGCTTCTCCACGGACTCCTTGAGCTGGGCGAGCTGAGCGGGCCGGCTGGCCAGCGCGCGCCCCGGCCGGCTGCCAGCGGAGGAGGAGACTATTTTAGGTCCCCTTTACCATGGCCTTCTGGTCTCCTCGAGCTGGTCTGGCACTTGCCATTTGTCAGCCAGCCCCACGACAACTTTGACTGGGGGGCCTCCCCTCCCCCACCCCGAAATCCCTGGCTCAGCACATATTCGAACCTGCCCGAGTTAATCATGAAGCTGTGATCTTTATCGGGGGAGAGGCGGGTGGCGGGGGCGAGCGCCCGGGCGCGTTCCCTCCGCTCCGCTCCGCGTACAGTAGTGAGATCCGGTTGGCTTTTCCGTGGGGAGCCGGCCGTGAGCGGCTGCCGGACGCGCAGACCCGCCCGCCGCTGGGCTGGGCCGGGACTGGGCCGGGGCCCGCAGGGCGGAGGGGAGGGACGGCAGGGGGCCGGCCGGCCAGCCCGGAGGCGGGCGCTGCGCTGCGCGGGGCGGCACTGGGCCCCTGCGCCCCTGCCGAGCGCGAGCCACGCCAGCGCCCGGCCCCGAGCGGGGAGCCGCGGGGGCTCGGCCCACTTGGGTAGAAGAGCAGCAGCGTTTGGGGGGTCTTATTTTTCGGATTTTCCTTCTTTTTTTTTTTCTGTTGTCGGATGCGGGCGTTGCAAAGGGAACCCGTAGCCATGCATAACCTGCAAAGTAAGTTGCCTTTCCCCGCGCCAGCCACCCCCCGCGGCCGTGCCTCTCGGTCTAGTCTGCGTGGAGCCGGGTGCGTGCACGCCTGTGTGGTGTGTGCTCTCTGCACCCTGTTAGCGCCGCCTGGGGAGGACAGCCGAGGATGGGGGGACGCTCCCCCCAGTGCTCCAGGGGGTCGCTACGGGGGGGGGAGGGCAGATGAGAGGGGGGTAGCTAGGAAGTTGAGAGGGAGCTGATCAGAACGTTCTGGGCTGGAAGGCCCCCCCCCTCCCCGCCAAGAGCTTTGCAGCGCCCGTGGAAAAATCACCTGTCTCCCCGGGACTCCTCCATGGAGCCGGCTGGCTTACTCCAAGTGCCCCCGATGCAGCGGGCTGCCCGGGGCTGATTAGGCAGCGCTGCTCGGAGGACTGTGCCCCTTACTGGTGGGGACAGGGCCACCATCTTTTGGTCAAACAGCAACATACCCCAACCACCACCGGCTGCTTTCCACCATTCTATTAAAGGTCAGGTTTTAGATTTACCTAAACCCGTAGGCAAATAGAAAAGGTGAGGGCTGGGGAAGGATGGGATGCTTGTGTCTCCCCCTCCCACCCCCCTCCCACACCCTTGGCAGAAGGTTCTCAGGTGAACAGCACCTGGAGATAGTGGAATGCCTTGGTCTACTCGTTGGTGTACTGTATGATCCCAGATTTGATGGAAAGTCCAAAGGGCTTGTGCTTTCCCTGTTCCCTCACCTGTCACACAAATACATGGCACATACATGTACATCGGCCACAAAACCCACTCTGGTTTTTCCAGTGAGCCACATTTGCATTGGAGGGAGCTTTCTCCCACACATACATCATAATATTGTGGGTGGCACAAGAGACGACGTTGGCTCACAATGGGAATATACATTAGACTCCAGTGAGTGACAATTATATGCGGCGTGATTTGCAGAGAAATCCATTTCCGTATATACGGCTAAGAAGAAATATTTGTTCCCAAAGTAAGGCATTTGAGCTAGAGGGAAAAGGGAAAAAAGGGGGGGGGGAGATTACATCACCCTCTCCTGCAAGCACTCACTGAAGGACGGGTGGCTGGTGAAATACCTTGCACAAAAAATTTATCTCTACACCACCACTCGGCATCTTCAAATGTAGCCTGTTTCTGTTTGGAGGAGACAGCTTCTTACACAGGTTCATTAAAAAAAAAAACATTGAACTGCTTTTAATGTGACCGTTACATTTTATGCAAATAGTAAGTATTTAATAGACTTTATTCTTGTGAACAATTTTCATGGCTCATCTATGAAGTCTTTTTTTTTTAAACTTTGAAATGTTCAGTGGAGGAAGAGTTTTTGTCTGTAGATTTTAATTGTTCTCCTAATGGGGGGTACATTAAGTTCTGAACTTGAATTATGGAAAATCAGAATAGAATCTTCAGAGCTCTTGATCCCTTTTCCTTTTAATAAATGTGGGAGATAATTTAACAACTGTAAAACAAAGCTTAAGGATGGCATTCTGATGCCTTTGTAAGATTTTCCTAGCACGGAATGCCTGGGCTATCTATAAACCCAGATGGACTGGGGGAGGAAAAAAAGCTACAAGCTGCAGCATATCAGCTTTTGTCAGCCTGCCAACAGCCGGACGTACCATGCAGCAAAGAGTAATAAAAAGGGAATTAGAGAACTCACTGCTTCAGGAGAACGGTCAAATTAAACACCTTTAGACAAGATGAAAGTGTAGACGGTGCGGCTGTGGTACATGCAGGTTCTTGGTAAGGGTGGGACTCTGAAGGCTGGCATCGGAGACAACTGATGAAGCGGGAGTGGTCTGGTGACATTTTCCTGACTTGATTGGCTGGGATGTGTGATGTAATAGGTTACAGTACAGCCCCCTTATAGGTTTTAAAATGAATTCCAAGACACCATTACAAAGAAAGCCGGACTCTTTTCTTATAACTGGTCTCAGCCAAGGAAACTCTCGCACAAATGTACAACACTGTTTGGACTATGGAAGACCTGGATTTAGAATATGCCAAGACAGATATAAACTGTGGCACAGACTTGATGTTTTATATAGAAATGGATCCACCAGGTAATACTGAAGGATTAATGGAGAGAACTAGTTAATTTTGTGGCTTTTTAATTAAAAGCATTTTTTAACAGATCCTCTTGAGGATATTTTTATTCATTTGTTCCACGTTTGATAAGTTGACAGTTGACAAACTGATTGTTTGTGAAAAGAGGCAGCCAGCTCCGGCTGTGTGGTGGGGTGAAGGCTGATTCTAACTTGAATGGATGTGAATTCGATGCTACTTTTTCACTAGTGTCTTTTGTTAATCGTCGTCCTTTGCTTGTTGGGCTATCTTGTTAGATACTGTTCCTTTAATTAAAAGGATGTGTCCTTTGTGCTGCTTTTCTCTGCTAGCAGTGGATGAGAACAGTGTGGTATTTGGCAGTGATAACACTTGGTTCTTTACAAAGCATGTAAAAATGTAGCAGTGATTGAAACTCAGTTCTCTAGGATCTGAACTCTTCTAAATCAGAAGTGCAGACTTTGCTTGCTCTCTGCCTTATATTAAAATACTAGGGTGAAAAAAAGTGGGCTTTCCACTATTTAGTCCTAGACTTTGTAAAAAAAAATGTGCTAGGCACCTGAAATCATTTTGCATAACTTAAAATAGTAACAGTGCTTGAAAACTTACAGCTTCAAATTTAGCTAAAAATCCTATGTTTATTTCCTAAAAATTGTTTTTTTTTCAGTATTCTCCCTCCCCCAATTTTTTTTTTTTTTTAAATCTAGAAACGCTGCAGCCGTTGCCTCTGTCAGTAGTTCCTGTGAATGCTGATTTGACATTGAGGAAGGGGGATAGGGTTTTAATCAGACCTGGCATATATAGCACAATTTAGCCAGCCCAGTAGTATCATGAACAGCAAGGAGATTTAGGTCACAGATGAGTTTCTTAAAGTGGCTTTTGGCAGAACAGTGCCTGAAATGCTAAGATTAGAGAAACCCAATTCCTCCTCTTAAAACACATTGCTGTAGATTTTTTTTTTTTAAGTTACTGCAACAGCTTTTGTGCAGGACAGAGGGAAGCCAAATTAGTCTTTTACAATTAAATAAGAGAACATTAAAGCTAACTCACTGTATTCCTGTTGCTCATCTGTTCATAATTTCTTACTTTATACATGAATTTGACTAATACTTTAAGAGAGCTAGAATCATGATGTAGAAGATGTCATGACTCTGGATTTACTTTGGAATTTCTTCACATGGCCAGCTCCATTTGTTTTTTAGTCTTCAAGGTCTGTCTCTACCTGTCAACTCTTTTTTTTTTTTTTTCCTCAGCTTTGTTTCTTTTTGAGCCATACTCTAAAAGATTCCTGTTGAAACTATCTTCTGTGATTCATAGAATTGGGGATTACTGGTGTCTTCTTTTTTTTCCCCCTCCTTGTTGTAATGGAAATGTTACTTATCTCAAGAAATGTAGGTCTTATTTTAAATGTTCAACTGGAGTTTGGATGACACACAACTTTTTCTTTCTCCTTTGCCTGCAGCACTGCCTCCCAAGCCCCCCAAGCCCACTCCTGTAGCCAACAACGGTATGAACAGCAACATGGCCTTACAAGATGCTGAATGGTACTGGGGAGATATCTCGAGGTAAGGCCACACAGCCTTCATTTTCCCTAGATACAGAGAGGCTTAGATTAGAGACAGAAAAGCACCAGCTTGCTAAGTTCCATTTTTAGGATATCATCCAACAAAAGCATGAAGCATAGTTGGTTCTCTTCCAAAGACGACGCGAAAAGTCAGCGAGCACTGGCTAACAGTGGGTGCTGGATGCCATAGGAAAGTAAATACTTGAGAAGTTTCATTACTGACAGAGTTGTCAGTGAAGCACCAGGCAGGATGATGGGGCTGAGGGTAGAGAGCCTCTCTCTAGTAAGCAACTTTAAGAGATCATGTTATTGTCTTAACAAAAAATGTCACGTTATTGTCTTAACAAAAAAATGATACTTTTTTGTCTTAACAAAAAAATCATTGGGGGGGTGGTATGTGGGAGGGGGTCAGTGAGGAGCTGGGAATCTGGATGGATTTTTATGCTGATTTGTCAGAGATATTATTGTATACTATATTAGTAGTCAGCATGAGTTCATTAATTTTTTAAAAATTCTTATAGCCTGTTTTTATTAAGACTAGACAACATTCCTATTAAAAAAAAACAACAACAGGAAATAATTAGTAACCTCTGAAAACTACAAGACCCAAATACAAATGTATGGGAGCAGAACTCTGTATTTTCCATTCACTGTTGCTATGAACTTAAATCTATGCTCCAAAGTAGTCTGCCAGGGGTATGGGTGTGAGTGTATGTGTCTCATGGGTGGAATATTTGGCTAGCATGGATAAGATGCTCTGATCCTCATCCCTGCAGAAATAAAGTCTATGAAGAAAAAAACGTACAAATACTGAATCCTGATCTTGTGTCCTGTTCTTTTCAGGGAAGAAGTAAATGAAAAACTTCGGGATACAGCAGATGGGACCTTTTTGGTACGAGATGCATCTACTAAAATGCATGGGGATTATACTCTTACACTAAGGTGAGTCAGAAGATGAGGTCGGAATAGGGGTATTTGCATTGACATGAAAACATTTCTTTAATGCTATTATTTTTTATGTTGTATTTACAGGAAAGGAGGAAATAACAAATTAATCAAAATATTTCACCGAGATGGAAAATATGGCTTCTCTGATCCATTAACCTTCAACTCTGTGGTCGAATTAATAAATCACTACCGGAATGAATCTCTAGCTCAGTACAACCCCAAACTGGATGTGAAATTACTTTATCCAGTATCCAAGTACCAGCAGGTAATCAAAACTGAATTCTTCATTCAAGATACTTTCATATTTAGAAAGCATAGCCGGGAATGGTAGAATATACTTAGAGTCCAAGTACTTAGGAGGTTGAGATCGAAGGGCTTATTAGTTCAAGGCCACATAGAAAGACTCTGTCTCAAAAAAAAAAAGAAAGAAAGAAAAGTTTAGAAAACATTATGGAACAGATTAACTATAGAACTCAGGTTTGGAAAAACCTTATGGCAGTTTTATAATTAAGATTTTTTTTCCATATTGGCTGTTTTATTACTTGAATACTGTGTCTGGTGCAATACTTGGGGCCTCATGCTCTTACTTTGCTCTCTCACTCAAGGCTCATTCTTACCCACTTGAGCAAAATGGCTCCACTTCCAGCTTTTTGTTAGTTAGTTGGAAATAGGAGTCTTACGAACTTTCCTACCAGGGCTGGCTCATGAGCCACCAATGCTTGGCTTACATACTTAATCAACTGCGTTTTCCCCCCTCTAATCTTTCTAGGATCAAGTTGTCAAAGAAGATAATATTGAAGCTGTAGGAAAAAAATTGCATGAATATAACACTCAATTTCAAGAAAAAAGTCGGGAATATGATAGATTATATGAAGAATATACTCGTACTTCCCAGGTGAGTTTTCTGTGAAAATTGGACTACAGATACTAACTTTATTAAAAGGTATAAAAACAGCTGAGATTTGGGGATGAAAGGGGAAGGAGAGAGAACATTGTGAGTCACAATTGATTGCTTAGGCCTAATATCGAAACCTTACAATTCACAATTGGAGAATTCTGTTTGCAACTGCAAATGTCCCAGCTTTGTCTCTGGAATGGAGGCTTCATGGCCAAAACACCGTGCTGTAAGAAGAGGAGACTACAGTTTTCTGTGGTGTTTTCTGGAGACTCGTGCCTCTTCAGGCCAGTCATTGGGCAGCCAGCAGTGGGCAGTGTGCATGCTGCCCACATAAATGGCTTTGTGAAAGACAGAAACTATATTAGTATTGCATAGATTGAACAAATTCTCCAAAAGAAATGTATGCGTTTCTGTGACACTTTTTAAAATATTTTATTATAAAAATGACATACAGAAGGGTTATAGTTAACATACATCAGGTAGAATACATTTCTTTTTCAACAGTGTCACCCCACCCCACCCCCACCGTTATTCCCTTCCATCCTGCCCACAAGTTGTATTGTTCATTTTCATCGCAGTGTCTAGTGAATCCCACTGCTGCATTTGTTCACCCTTTGTTCTTCCATTTCTGTATCCCCCCCTTGCCCTCCCAAAGACAGATAAATGAACAAACAAGACAAAAAGAAAACAAAAAGAGCAACAAAGAAAAAGCCTCTTCTGTTTCTTTTTCCTGGAGGATACTATTTTTAATGGCCATATGGGAATTAAATATTTGCAGATCTTGCTAGCTGAGGGGTTCCTTTATGATACTTGGATGACTGTGCTTACAAGCTAGGTGATGATACAAGTCAAATGTTCTGACAGTATCTTGCAGTAAGAAATAATTCTGTGAAGGGTATGACATTTCTTTTTCAATTTCTGTTGCAGGAAATCCAAATGAAAAGAACAGCTATTGAAGCATTTAATGAAACCATAAAAATATTTGAAGAACAGTGTCAGACCCAGGAGCGGTACAGCAAAGAATACATAGAAAAATTTAAACGTGAAGGGAATGAGAAAGAAATTCAGAGGTGAGGGAGCCAGGAGCATTTCTAGTGCCCTTGTGCTTGAAACAACCAGAAATTTAAAAATCTGGTTAGACCATTGATCTCACACTATGTTCTTTGTATAACTTAACAGTCATAAGAGGAAAATAATAGATAAATAAAGCTTTGTTTGTATACATTTCTCTTGCTCGTAGGATTATGCATAATTACGATAAGCTAAAGTCTCGAATAAGTGAAATCATTGACAGCAGGAGGAGACTGGAGGAAGACTTGAAGAAGCAGGCAGCTGAGTACCGAGAGATTGACAAACGCATGAACAGCATTAAGCCTGATCTCATTCAGCTGAGAAAGACGAGAGACCAGTACTTGATGTGAGTGTCGAAGTGGGACCTGGAGGTGAATGGCAACTGATGCTACAATTAAAGATGAGTGATTTGTGCTAATTTTGTTTCCAAATCTGTGTTTGTTTTTCTAGGTGGTTGACTCAAAAAGGAGTTCGGCAAAAGAAATTAAACGAGTGGCTGGGCAATGAAAACACTGAAGAGTGAGTAGTGACCAAACCTGGGAGTTTAGTTTTAGGAAAAGATAAGACTGAATGGATTTTTCTAACACATGAGGGATTCTATTGACTAACTTATAGAAGTGTATAAACTTAGTGTTCAGAAAAAGGATGTAAAAGCCAAGGGGAGCGTGGGTTTATTTTTGCCCATGATGTTCCTGAACATCTGAAAAATCAAAATCCCCAGATACCTTTGGAACAATCAAAGCGAAAGAAAAACTTGTAAAACGTTGTGAAGAGTAATTTTTATGTTTGGTTCAGATTATTAGAGAACTGGCCCTCGTCTGAGCCAATGTATTTCCTGGTCTAAACTGGATAAACAAAATTATTTAGTAACTTTCCCCTCTGCCCAGGTACCTAAGGGTTGTTGCTGACTTTGTAGGGATAGTATATAACTTATTGCTAACTCCTTGTCCTAGGATGGTGAGTTGGAGGTTAATCTGAGGAGAGGAAATGTCAAGTGAGAGCCGAGGTGCTGAGTCAGCCACGTGGTCACTGGGATGAGAGGGACAAGCAGTAGATGGGAATGGGGAGACGCTGGTGTGGGCTGGAGTTCCTAGGCTTGCTTCTCACTGAGAAACTCTCTCCCACCTGTATAGCCAATACTCCCTGGTGGAAGACGATGAGGATTTGCCCCACCACGATGAGAAGACATGGAATGTGGGAAGCAGCAACCGAAACAAAGCGGAAAACCTCTTGCGAGGGAAGCGAGATGGCACTTTTCTTGTCCGGGAGAGCAGCAAGCAGGGCTGCTATGCCTGCTCTGTGGTGTATGTACCTTCACAGACTCTTACTCACGTTTCACGCATTCACTGGGGATAAGGATTTTAAGAAGTTCTAGCTTTGAAGAATCTTACAGTATAATAATACAGATGAAGTGCTAGACTGGATTGTCTAATAGAAATGTATCATTTACCAGGAAGATGGAAGATTGACATCAGGCTCAGGAACAGATTAATCATGAAATGTTGTTCAGTCTTCTTACCCTTACATTGGAACTAGCCTTGTCGGTCATCCACCCTCTCCACTCCCCTTCTAGCCCCCCTGCTGTGCTTTCTGCCTCTAAGGCTAATATTTAGAATCTGAAGTAATTTATATAAGAGCATCACCCAGTAGATCCAGGAGGAGGGTTTTGTTTTTGTTTTTTGCTTATTAGTAATGTGGTTAGTACTTTGAAATAAAGTTTTGAAGGCTAGGCATGGTGGAACATACTACCACGTGGGATTATAGCATGTAATCCCAGCATGCAGGGGGATCATGAGTCTGAGGCGAACCTGGGTTATTTAATAAGACTCTATCTTAAAAAAGAATAGTATTTTTTTCTTTTTTGGTTGGTCGTGGGACTTGAACTCTGGGCCTGGGCGCTGCCCCTCAGCTCTTCAGCTCAAGGCGAGCACTCTACCACTTGAGCTACAGGACCACTTCCGGTTTTCTGGTGGTTTATTGGAGACAGGAGTCTCACAGTCTGTCTTGCCCGGGCTGGCTTTGAACCTCGATCCTCAGATCTCAGCCTCCTGAGTAGCTAGGATTACAGGCGTGAGCCACCAGCGCCCGGCTAAGAATAGTATTTCTGTACTGGGGAAAGGTTCTATTCCTCCAGGATAGAAACAGAACAACTTTGAATAGGTACAGGACCAGGAGAATAAATAGAGGGATGGGGAATGTATAGACATTTAAAGCATAGCCTGAAAGAATGCCATTAACAAGTAAGAGTTCTGGGCTGGGAATGTGGCTTAGCGGTAGAGTGCTTGCCTAGTATGCATGAAGCCCTGGGTTCAATTCCTTAGTACCACAAAAACAGAAAAAGCCAGAAGTAATGTGGTGGCTCAAGTGGTAGCACACTAGCCTTGAGCAGAAGCAGCTCAGGGACAGTTCCCAGGGCCTGAGTTCAAGCCCCAGGACTGGCAAAAAGAAAAAAAAAAGTTCTTATAACTGGTAGCAGTACCCATCATGGTTGTAAACTGCCCTGGATCACATGCTTGCTGCACACCAGACTCCTTTCAAGTACCTTGCATACACCATCTCATCTCCGTTCTTGAATGTGTGCATATACTATCTTAGACGACTTTCAAGATGAAAATGTGATGGCTTAACTAACATGGGCCAAGACCTTGACTCCTACTCAAGTCACCCACGTCCACAGCAAGCCAGGACTGTTTCACCAGCTCCAGACAGAACTCTGTACTGTTGTTCTCTTTCTTGACAGTATACCCTGGAGTTTATGGGTTTATCTGGGATCAGCTCAAAAAACGTTGTGTTTTCTCTCCTCTCCAGGGTGGATGGTGAAGTCAAGCATTGTGTGATCAACAAGACGGCGACTGGCTATGGCTTTGCTGAACCCTACAACCTGTACAGCTCCCTGAAAGAACTGGTGCTACATTACCAACACACCTCCCTTGTGCAGCACAACGACTCCCTCAATGTCACACTAGCATACCCGGTCTATGCCCAGCAGAGGCGATGAAGCGCTACCACCCTCTTAATCCTGTTCCTGACCTTCAACCACCTGAGGCCTCCGGAAAGCAAAGGGCTCCTCTCCAGCCTGACCTGTGAATTGAGCTGTGGAAATGAAGCCGTCTTCCTGCAGATGGGACTACAGCTTTCTAGGACAAAAAGAAGTAGGGGAAGGCACGCAGCCTAGGGCTGTCAGATGATCAGATGTTTCTAACCTGAACTGCTTATCCTTCCCCCCCCCCCTTTTTTTTTTTAATTTAAAGCCACAACAACATAAAGAGAAAAAGCAAAAATCTCTGCGTGCAGGGACAAAGAGGCCTTTAACCATGGTGCTTGTTAATGCTTTCTGAAGCTTTACCAGCTGAAAGTTGGGACGTTGGAGACCGGAAGGTAGATAAGCCGGAAGAGCCCAAGCCTGAGAACGCTCAGTCCAGCCTAGTCTAGCCTGGGTGTCGCACCCAGACACATCGCACTGTGGATTATTTCATTTGCTGACAACGGACAATATGTAGCAGAAAGCACTTCTGCTCACCCGGAGAAGTCAGGAGAAACTTCAGTTCCTGTATGTTTCAGAGGAAATTCTGTTGTAACAAAGTGCCAGGAAGTGTTTTGTTGAAACGTGTCAAAACAAAAACACAAACAGCCCACCAACAGAAAAATGGAGCTTGGAAAACAGGACTTACAATGACATTCAATATATAAAATATGTATATAATATTGGATGACTAACTATCAAATAGATGGATTTGTATCAATACCAAATAGCTTCTGTTTTGTTTTGCTGAAGGCTAGATGCACAGCGCTATGCAAATCTTAATTTTTATTGTTATCAGTTGAAATGTACCTTCAGAATAAGCTTTTCTTACCCCAGTTTTGTCGCTTGAACATATTGTCCCTGATTTTTGTTAATATTCATTTTGTTTTTGTTATTATCTTTTTTTAAAAAGAAGAAATGTACAGAATGCCAGTTACAAAAAAATGGCTTCAGAATTAAAACTATGAAATATTTTACAGGTTTTTTTTTGTTTTGTTTTTGTTTTTTTTTGTACAGAGTACTTGGCTGTTAGCCCAAGGTTAAAAAGTTCATAACAGATTTTTTTTTTTGGACTAAATGTTTTGTTGGGCAGTGCCTGATAAGCTTCAAAGCTGCTTTATTCAATAAAAAAGAGAAAAAGATATATGAATATGACAAAGTATTGCTGAGTCCAACGATGTTGTTTTAAGACTCTTAAAATACGGTACCTGGCAATGTTTATTTGATAGTAATTTCTGAACTTCTTGAATCTAGGGAGGGGGGTGGTGGCGGGAGGGGTGACGAGGTTATGTGCACTTTCTCGCAATTACAGAGAAGTGGCGAAAAACTGCAGAGTGGACTTGCTTTTACGTCAGTCTTTTCGCACTTCGATTTGCTAGTTGTTATCAGTGAATGACAATTACAAACCTACTGTAAACTCTAACCCACGTGCAGCTGGTGAAGTGTTTTACTTCTGAGGAAGGAAGTGCTGAAGAGTTTTGGGGGGCTCTCTGGATTAGTGCTCCCCTTAGCACACTGGTTTCAAAGTATAAACTCTGCATTTAGAAAATGCGTTTTCTCCTCTTCGCATTAGATTAGCCACCACAACCAACATTCATTTTAGAAAAACAAAACATGGTTTGGGAAAAATACTTTTAGTGGGATGTGTGCTATTTTCCTAGCTTTTCATTCAGTGTAGAACATAAAGCGCATGGACACAGCTCATGGTCAGTACCATGGGCTATGTGGAGCATCACAGAAATCCAAAGTACCATCCTCATTCATCCAGCAACCGTGTGAGGGGACTTCACTGTGGGGAAGGGAGAGGTGGGGGAATCATCTTTGCAATTCAGGGTGGCTGAGAGCATTCTCCCTTCCTGATTGACATGTTCAGCAGGAGTTGTCTGCATGCAGACTAATGTTATGCATGGTCACTGCCCTGCCTGGTAAAGCGGCATTTTGCCATTTCAGGTCCCCTTTCTCAATATTTAGGAAGACTCATCCACAACTTTTATTTCTTTTCCCTTCCTTCAAATACTAAGATGAGGGTGGGTTTAGTTTGGTTTTGTCTTGTAATGTTCTTTTAAAAAAAAATCTTTTGGGAAGAATCAGTCTAAATAGTTGAGTTACTCATCTGTAGAATGTATTATGTTTTCTTCTGTTCATAAAACTACTCATCCTCGAGCAAAACGTCAGTCATTACCCAGACTGGCAGCCCTCAAACTTGACTTTCCTGATCTGACCATCTCCTTCTCATCACCAGACAAATGCTGATTCCCTGGGTTTCGTCTGTTGTCTTTGCTTTGAAACTTGTGACAACCTCTTCCACATCACATCAAAGTTAGCAGTTAATAGTAGTTTGTAAACTTAAGTTTGTGGTTTGTTTTTGTTTTGGTAGCACATCATGTATGCTTTTAAGATATCAATAACTTGCATTTAGTTTCTCAGCTAGATCTGACATTGAATGCTTCATTAAAAGCTGCAGTGTCATTCCTGGTTTTGCTTCATACTCTATGCAAGGTGGCTTGCGATTTGGGCAGTTGCCTTGATTTTGCATCTCACAAGCACAAGTGCATTAGGTTTTTTCCATTGAACAGAAAACAGGAGTCATTCTTTCCACATGATAGCAAGTTGCACTGCACCTATTCTGCCCAATGCCTTTGTGATGACAGTGTAAGCATGCACACCAAATTTGCCCTAGGTGTTTGAGCATCAGGGCTGGGTGGGTTTGATTAGTTGGTCATCTCCTAACAACCCTGAGTGGCTCATGAATACAGGTGGATTCAGTAGTCACTTCTCATACATCACTTTTTCCCACCTGATGTAGCATCCTAAAGACCAAGCCAGAGCTAAGCTGCAGAGAGGTTGTGATAGGGCTGGACAAGTGGTAGCATTGGGACTTTGATCATAACCACATGGAAAGGCAACAGTAATGTTTGAAACACTTAACAACTTCACGGCCCTGGATAGATGTGTATATATATATATGTATATGTATATGTGCATGGACTGGGTTTCCTGTTATACAACCCAAACAGATCTACAGTTGTTGAGCTCAAGTTACATAATAAGCAAATGTCTAGTACAATTCTTGTATTTGTGTATGGTCGTTTGTTTGAGATTGTTTTGTCTTATAAAGGTGAAAATTGTTCCCAAGTGAACGGAGTTTTTAAAAGTGACTCCTGTGAGGGGGGGAGCAGGTCTGGATGGTTCGCTTATGTTGGCAGTCCTTGTTCACAGTGTGTCGAGTCAGTGTGCTTATGTGAGCTGTCATTGTGGAACCAATTGCTCTGTTGTGTAGCTGGTTATGAACTAGTAACATGTTTGGGAAGTCCTACTGATGTTCCTCATTGGGAGAAAAATACCGCTGGTTTTAACAAGTGTGCTTTTGCTATGCATGGTATTCGAGTTGGTTGAAAAGCAGATCTTGCTATCTCTTTGAATTTGGGGTCACTGAAGAAAAAAGGGGCAGTTTAAAGCACAAAGCCCCACATGGGACAAAGTTCCAACATGCCAAATTCTTTTTAAAAAAAAATCTAAATAAGATACTAGTATCATGGGTGGGGAAGGAATGGAATTAGGTTCATTGAAAAGACTACCTAGCTTAACATTGAACTTGTCACCATGAGATAGCATTAGATGCCCCAGATGCTGCTATTGGGGGGGTGGGGGGAGAGAGAAACACGCAAAACAAAATACCCCAACAACTCATTTCTGTGTGTGTATTTTTTAAAACTACAATCTGTTCAATGTTTTTACAAATCTGTTTATATGACATTGATAAAAATAAAGTTGGTCTTTTGACGAGAGGGAGTATGTCATGGTCAGTTGTAATCTTGCCTTTACAAGGCAACCGGGGTGGGGGTGGGGGGGAGTGTACCTCCTTGACATTTTGTTCAAGTTACAGATTCAGTGGAGCTATGTCTTGTTTTAAGTTGCTTTAATGCATTGTATTAGGTCTTAAAAACAGAATAAAGGTTGTTTTGAAACTTAAAATTCTGGTTTAAAGATTCAATTATCGAAGATGTCAAGATATACTTCTTAAACCAGTCCCTTTTGACTTAAAATTTGTTTTTAGGGCTGGAGGCATAGCTTAAGTGGTAGGAAACCTGCCTAGCCAGGGTGAGTTCAAACCCTAGTGCATCCCTCTTCCCTCTCCCCCCCTCAAAGTGTTATTTTTGCTTCTATGGGATCCCACCCACCGCTTCGCAGTCCATGATCACATTATCTGGGTTTTGTAAAAGCAAGGACACAGTCTCACAAATGTACACAGTGCTGTTGACATAATTTCACTACGTACTTAAGAACAAAAACACATCTAGTTAACGTCATTTCAAGACATATTCTTGCTATAAGAGAATGCTGTCCATCCATTCTTTCCCAAATCCATCCCACATCACCAGTTCTTGACAGTCATCCTTTAACAGTCTCCGGAGTATCTCTCCTGTACACTGCCTATGTTCAACACCCACTGCCAAGACAATAAGCAATGGTAAGGGTATGGGGTTATAAGTAGGACTAAGCAACATGTCAGGCGCAGATTCTACATTGTATCACCTAGTCAAGACAATTCACTGCGAAATAACTTTCCCCGTTGGTTTCACTGCTTATGGAATTTAGGATTGTTACCTTGTTAGGTGTACATTACTGCAGGAAGACACAGTTGGGGTCTGAGATACCAAGAACGCAGGGTGGGAAAAACAAAGCTGAGAGAGCATATAAGTAATTATCTTCCTGGCAACAATGATTAGCATTTATTGACCATGGCAGTAACTCAGATTCATTTCCTGCCTTTCACCTGCTCTTGTGTGACATCACAGAAAAGTTCTCTGGCTCCTTTACCCTCTGGCTTCTAGAGAGTGAGTCTTCCATGGCTTCAGCTCTCATCAAATACAACCTGTCTTTCAGGTCTGAGCTACCTGCTGTGTTGTAGCTATCAGCCAAGGCTCACTATGATGACAGCACTACCCCCTCTATCCACAGGCTCACAACTCAAGCTGTTGCTAAACCTATGTGTTCCTATACCACTCCCCTTTTGATTTCTGACATTTTCTCTCAGCCGAGTGATTCTCTATTTAATTCTACAAGAGCTAAAAGTACAGCCATGTGTTGCTTAATGACTGGGTCTCATTCTGAGAAATGCATTCTTAGGTGATTTTTGTCATTACACCCATCTAGATGGCAGAGCCCGTACACACCTAGGCTGAGACACAAGCCATGGTGAATGTAGGATTAAATTAAGCACAAGAGAAAATGATGCAATCAAGACTAAATATGAGATGTAGGAGGTGGCGGCGGCTGCTGGAACCCAGTACTGTTTCACTGAAAACTTTTCATGAGCAGGAGCACACTCTAAAATAACCAGGGAGAGAATAGCAACTGCATAAGCCAGCAGCAGTCATTTGTTATCAGGATTGAGCATACTGTGCTGTGTGTAATTGTATGTGCTATGCTTTTGTGCAAGTGATAGCACTGTAGATTGTTTACACCAGCACCAACAGAGTCCTGTGGGTAACCCATTGGGCTCAGGGTCACTAGGCAGTTTCAGATCCATTATAATCTTAGATAATGGATCACCATTGTCTATGTGGTTCATAGGTGGCTGAAATGCTGTTGTGTGGCACTGGGCTGTTCTCTGATTATCCATTAAGTTCTTCTTATGTTTTATCTGATTTAATCCTTCCACACATCTATGAATTAGAAAATATTACCCCTACCCTGTAGATGAGAAAAATGGAGGCCTAGATACAGCATGTTAGAGCACGTTGCTGAGCACCATAGACCATCAGACTCCAGCTAGGGTCTTCCTCCCTGCCATGCTAGAACGAACAGGTTTCAATGGAAAACACATTTTGCAGTTCAAAATAAAAGTTCACCAGTAACCCTTCCTGCTGGGGAGATAAAAATGTGCCTCTTGGCCCAGAATAGCATGAGCTTGCTTTAGACCAGGGTTCCCAATGTACAGACCCCAGACCAAGCCCACATCAGCACCAACATCACTGAGTAAATTTGCAGGCTCCAACTCTATAGCTCAATGTGGAGCAATGTTATCTATTTATATGTTACATTATCAATCTACATATGCATAATGAAACTCACTGAAAATTCTTTTAAAAGGGAGGGAGGAAGGTTAAGAAAAAGGCATATGGGGTAAATTTGAGCAAGGTATATCCAACTATGTAAACATGACAACAAAAAACACAACTACTTGAAAAATCCTTGCTTTAGGATGCCTGTTAAAATAATACTTCCAGCATTTTAATTAAAAAGCCTCACCATGGAGTAATAATATAACTTTATAATACAATGTATGCCCATAGTCAGACTCTACAGAGGACAAATAAATTGGCTACTTGTAGTTTAACAGATCCCACTTGGTCTTCTTTTTTTGCCCTAACCAGCTGGGACAAATTAGCCATCTCACATCCCTATATAGGCCTCCAGCTCTTATCTGTGAAATCAGTGGGATCTGAACTATCTTGAGCCTCCTTTTACGACGTGTGCTATGCTGTAGTGAAATGAATGAAATGAAATCTTCTCCTAATACCCTAGTTAACAGTCTGGTCATGGCTGTAACCCATAGCACAATGGATGACTGCAGACCACTCCGTGGTAGATTGAGCACCCACCTTTGGTATTGTCAGTTAAGTTGTCTGAAGGAAGATGTTAGTACAACTGTTAGTACAACAGTTGTCTTGCTGGCACCTTAAAAGATACACTTCAGGAGAATAAAAATTGGTCCCTGGGTTTTCAACAGTTTAAGGATAGTATACTTGGAAATGACCTTGGGCCATCTGTCTACCAGTAGGAGGCACATGAGTGTGGCCTACCAAATCCTGAGAGGTGTGGGCAGTAGTGAATATAAATAGTCTGTTAAGATCTGCTACAGTATATCCATTTAAAATCTTTTTCCTGGAATTGTTTCTTTAAAAGAAAAAAGAAACCTATGTAGAAATGAGATCCCTGTTGTGGTATCTTTAAGTGTGACTAGATCTAAATTGATTGTTTGCTATCCCAGTTCCAGATTATCTTCTCAAAAAAAATACCACTTTGCATCCTCTGGCCTGGTATTGTTGCCATAAATCAGCTCCACAGAAAACTGCTGAGATGCTTTTGGAAGAATAAAAAATAAATAAAAGTGAAAAAGGATGAATGAGTTAGCCACCAATGTGCTTATCTGTACTTTGCTTTCCAGAAGGAAATTCCCTTCTCTCTGTAGCACTCAATCACAACAGACTGAAGCATGACCTCAGGCTTAGCTTGCTGTTAAATAAAATACCCTAAAGCTGTACCTGCCTGGCCACATGTAAAGGTTTGCCCCGTGGCATCTGAACAGGACACGCAGCTCCAGTGCCACCACTCAGCACACAAAGGACAAAGTTCCGAGATAGCTCCATTCATCACTGGGATGGCTTATTAGAATTATGGTCTTGACTGGGAAATATACTATCCGTTGTATGACTAGCCCACCGGAACCAATTTATTTATGGAACTTTCATTTCAAAGCTCAATGATTTATACTCCAAGCTCTCACAAACTAAGAAATATGGATAACTTTATCATAGTGGGAAAAATGTGCTGGTCACTTGATTTTGTATTTACTATGGCATAAGGACAAGCCCTGTGCCACAGGGTTTGGGCTTTCAGTGGTTACTAGCAGCTGTGAATTGTTTCTTTGGACCTGGAAGCTTAAGACTTTGATGATGGCTTATTGATTCATTCAAACAAAATTTCATTGAGTACAGACTAGGTGCTAGGCACTCTGCTACTTCCCTCTGGAGATCTGATGATGAAGGCAAAGAATTGTCTTCAAAGACATACCAAATGTCAGCCAAGGTTGAAAAACAGGTACATACACTCTTGTCAGTTGCTCCAGATGCTTATAATGTTGAGGCCCAACCTCCTAATGAGTGCCATCACTTTCAGAAGTATCTGGTTTTTGCGTACTATTAAAGACACTACTACCATTAGGAGATCTCTCTCAGAAGTCAGTGTCCACATATTGCATGACCCCATACTGCAGGTAATTCAGACATAGGAGGCAAGCTCTAGGAAAGCTATTGTCCTTCCGTCCATCCAAGGACAGATACCAGGACCCCACTTGCCTCTTTGCCTTACTTAGCACTCTGGAAGTGATCTATATAAGGTTGTCTCTCTCCTTTCATTCTAAATGAAAAATTCTCAACCCTGTCTGCAGGTTACAATCACCAAATTATCAATTTAGTAGGAAACCTAACTTATGAAGAGTCTCTGGGAGGTGACAATTAAATGACATACTATACAGCCCCTTGAACATCATGGTATCTAACAAATGGATGCAAAAATACAGTGGCTGATGAAACATGTCTATCAAATAAAACTAGATTCCCAAGGGCTATATTTGCTACTTTTGACTTACTGCATTTCTTAGCATAGTGCTGAATATACAGAAGACCAACTAGAGTGTTTTACTTAACTTTTAAATTACATATATGTATCTTATATAAAATATTTATATATAATTACTCATACCTTTGCTTATGTCTACAAAATATTTAATTATTTTACTCTTCTTAGATTAAATCACTCATAACCCAGAATGCTGAAAATGAAACTTCTATCAAGCATGCAAAAAGAGGGCCAGGCAGTGACTTCATAGTCCTGAGTGGTCCAATGTGTTAGGGTATCCCTTCCCTTGCTATCCTAGAGAAATCTGCCAAAGGGGTCTTTGTAAATAATGATGCATCCTACATAACAGTTTTGATTTCAAAAACATTTGGATATATTCTCCTTACAATGGTCCTCTTATTCATTGTGTGGCAAAAACCAAATACAAATAGAAAGGAGGTTTGGTGGCTGAGCTCGAAATCCTGCTAGGGGCACACCTTGCCCATTTGTGAACACCTGTTTGGTGGCACCCATTCCAACCCACCTGCAAAAGCTGTTTTGCAAGTTCTGCAGAAGGCTAGCAAAGTCAAGGGCCACTGCTTACATACTAGACTGTCACATGCCAGAGA